GCCGCCGCCGCCGCCGAGGTAAGCAGGCACACGTGTGGGTGGCACACGTGCACCCTGCTCCCCTCGCTCCTGCTCCCCAACTATTTAATTACTTGAAACATCATGAGAAACCTAAATGATTAACCAGCTACTTCTAATTTCTTTTTGTCCCCAACCACAACTTTCCCTCCTGAAAATTGGAACTTTGCTTCAGCTTTACTTCAGCATTTGATTTTTGGCCTTTCCATTGGTTTATAGGTTAGTATAGTCAGTAAGATCCCTTCTGAATTTCTTGGCTAGGTTGCAAAAGGAAAGAAAAAAAATAGCAATTTCCCTGTAGTTCGGCAGTGAGCTCAGCGGCACATGGGTAATCAGACTTCTTCAAGTTTCCGTGTTTCTTTTTTTCTTCTGTAAAAAAGGATCTAAAGAAACTATTCTAGAGTTGCAAAATCTACCATATAAAGCATGTTAGGCATGGAGAATTCAGTGCTAGTCAGTTCAAAACTATTTGAACTTTATGCAGTATAATGAACATTACTGGGTAATCATATTTAAATTACTGTCTTTTACAGACATTGCAGCTGAAAGAAGAGGAGAATAAGCGGTTAAATCAAAGATTAGTAAGTATTTGTCTTTAAATTTAAAAGAAGTTAATTAAAGTGAAATGAAGGTTAAAAATTCAAATATACAGATTTGACATTTGTGCATATTAAATGCACATACTAGGGCAAACAGGATACTAGTTGCATCATGAAATAAGTGGTTCAACTTTTTTTGATTAATTTTTAATCATTCAGAGAAGGAAAATAAGACATACAAGCAAATAGTGATGAGATTAGTGGTTTAGTAGCTTGCCACACGTTAAAGCAGTGCAGGTGCGTAAATCAAGCTGCGACCTATGTAATTCATATGGGAGCAATGGAACTTGAAACTAGTGGTCAAACCTCAGCCTAAGAGAACTACAGGAACTGTGATGAAGTTTGGTGAAAAACAAAGTATGAAAAATGAGAACAGTTAGAGACCACAAAAAGGCTTTCAAATATGCCAGATGGAAAGAACAGGGAGTTGTGGGTCCCTCTCCCACTAATAAGGCTGAGCTAGTAACAGAAAATGCAAAGAAGGCAGATCTGCTTTGCCTACAAAAAATAACTGCTTTACCTCCAAAAAGAAAAAAAAGAAGCTGAGAGCTAATCACTAACATTTAACCTAATCAAAGAAAGGAAAGAACCAGTAGTTCATAAATAAGGAATATGTCAGTGACATTTTGTTAATTGTGGAATAAATTAAGTCAACAGGGCATGACAGGGTGCATTCCAGGAATCTGAAGGAACTAGCTGGGCACTGCATTTTAAGTAGAATGTAGAGAAGTTGAGAGAGATCCAAAGATGAGCAGTAAGTTGATAAAGTTAAATGCTAGTGGTACAAGAAAAGGTTGAAAGAATTATAGATATGTTTAGTCTAAAGAACAGAAAATTTTAAAAGGGTCATAATAGCAGCTTTCAAATACTTGAAAGGCTGCCATAAAGAAGAGAGAGAACAACTGTTTTTCCTTGCCACATGAGGTAGCAGGTTTAAACTACATCAATCTAATGAAGTTAACATTTTAGGAAAAGGTTCTTAATCCAAGAACACTAGGACAATGGAACAAACTGTGTAGGGAATAGGAGGGCCGCCTCCTCCATTCTTTGGAGATTTTCAAGGCATCTGTCTGGGATGTTTTAGGAATAAAAGCTTTACTGTGAGAATGTGTTAAAATCTTTAGATGACATGGTCAACTTACATATGGGTTGTCTACATTTGCCCAGGGTGAAAAACTTTCAGTGGTATTTGAAATCATTACTAGAAAGAAAAGTCTGACAATCCCTAAGTGTGGTCCTCTGAATAAATACTCCGTATAAAATGTCCCCAAGTGTGTATTTACACAACAATCCAGAGAGGGATTAAGTCCAGTGGATGCAGAAAGATCATTTCATTTCCACATTATTCTCTGTATGTGAAGACCTGTTACTTAAGTTTGACTGGATTCATCTAACTTTTTTTTAATATAGCCTACTTCCTCTTTTTTGCCTTCCCTTATTTCCTTTCACTTTCTTCTGTTTAAAGTGTTCTAGCGGAGCTTGTCTCATTTTTTTTCTCCCCTTCCCCTGCTCCATCCCCTTTCACTTCGTCTGCATTAATCCCCATGTACTCCAGGACATTTTTCACCGTTTTTCCTTTAGGTATTATTACATTCCAACAGATGCATGTTGTCCCATTTCCCCCCCCCCCCCCAATCAATCTCTGGGTGTCAGTTCCATTTAGTCATTGCAGTTGCCCATCTTACACCAAAAGTAAGGGAATTGGAGAAGAATTTGGGAAAGGCTGGATGGCACCAGGTACGTGCCATAGCCAAGAAGCAGACACATAGGAAGCTTTTTGTATTGGCAGGGTATTTATATCTTTGAGTGTTCTGGCATACCTTTCATTCCCTCCTCTACTCAGAGTAATAGGACCCAAGAAAGCCTTCGAACAGGGCTGTCTGACTTCTAAGTGGTGGGGGTGTCACACCCTGCAAGCCAAGCACCACCGGCCCCCCCACTTGCACACTTCCCTATACTGCACACCTTGGTGGTCCCTCCACTGCACTGATTAAATTGTTTCACTGCTGGTATTATTGAATGTAGCTCTGTAGTTATGTTGTGTTCTTCAACTCTAAAGCAAATACACATTACTCAACCAAAAAACCTTATGGTTCTTAAGTGAACTTTAATTATTAATAATCGGAAAGCTTTGTGGCATGTCCCGATCACTGCAGGTATTGTTCCCATTAATTTTTAGATGAGTCTCCATTTATAAGCACTGGACTGCACATCCCAAGATGCTATGTTTCGATAGGGATTTAGGTAGCCAGTTTCCTCTGAATGTCAAAAGCAGAGGCATCAAACCTTTTAGCACCTTTTGAAAATTCTAAATATATAACTGAATTTTATACATCAACAAGAGGGTTAAACATGTATGTTTGAGTACTTAAAAATTTATTATTTTGAGGTTTGATTCTTTACTTCGGGATTTATTCCTTTTAAAAACAACGCATATGGAACTTTTCTGTACTGTCTTGTTTAGAAGTCATTGTTTTTAATGGTCTGAATGCACATGCTGTGAAAATGTATCCTAAACTGTTCCTGGATGTTTTCAAAATTCAGCAACAACGATGTCAACTAGTTGTGTTGTCTCCTTGGAAGAGAAATAAGAGATGTATTTGCAAGGCTGGATAGGAATAAAAAGTCATCTTGCATATCTCCATAATTATGCATGTTGGATCCAGCAACTGTTACATGAAACTACATAAATTATAAGAAACTTGGGGAATTCCAAGGGGAGTGGAATCAAAGTAACATTCTCAGCAATCCTTTCCAGTCTCACAAAGAAGGGAAAAAATGGGAAAAAATCTCTAGTTACTGAACAATTGGCTATGCCAACGATGCAAGTATGTGAAAGTTAAGATTTTGTGCCTGAAAGCATTGTGTCACTTCTTAGTAAGAGAGAGGTCTGTAGATACAAGGCAGATTGCAAATCATAGCAGGGGGCTAATCTTCTTAGTTACAAACTAGTTAAAGAAGCTAAGCTACGGGTTCAAGGGAAGTTGTGAGGAACATTGGGTTTGTACATCTCTTATCTGAAACTGTAAATGTGAAACAGAAAAAAAAATTGAGAAACTTTGGGTAACAAGCTAGAAATGGATCTTGTTGATGAGTAGGAAGTTGTTATATTTAGTATTACTGAAAAGGATTTGAATGCATATAATAAAATCTTGCTTTATAAACTTGTTCAGAAAGGAGGGTATAAGAAAAAAAAAAAGTCTGGGAGGAGGGTTGTGTTTAATGGACCAGTGTCTCAACATTAATGATAACTGAAAACCAAAAGATCTTGAATGCATAATAAATCAATATGATAACTAAGAAATTAGAAGAGGGGGTGTTTTGTTATAAACTACTGAATTAAACCATAAAAAATGAAGTTAAATGAATTAGCTGCTTCTAAACATGTAGAAAGAAAAATAGTAGACTTAAAATTAGTTAAAACATTAATGAATAATATGAATTAAGCTCACCTGAATTAGGGCTATTCTAATTTTGAGTCTGTGAGCTCACCCAAGCATTTGATGCAGCTTATCTATAAAACACTTTACAAACTTATTTGGACCGACTTTTCTGAGGCAGTGTAGACAACCCTTTAATGACCAGACTGGAATTGATAACATACCTAGGCACTAGTGATTGAGACCTAATTGCATTAAATATGAGAAAATAATAGAGTCTCAGCCAAGTGTATATAACATGCATGTAAAATATGATATAATTAAATTCAAATAGGCTAATTTTTCAGAACTAAACAAAAGTATGAGCAAACTATCAGGATGAAAAAAGTGAATAGAACCTGAGAACTCTTTAAGAGCTTTATTGGCCAAAAAGTCAAGGTTGGGAAGTCTTGAGGATACCTTTGGCTAAGTGAAGGAAATGGATATGTGGTCAAAAGGTAGAAGAAATAGGAGTAGAGACAATAGTTATAAACTAAAAGTAAAAAATAAGGAGAGAAAATATGGGCCTGTCAAGGCTAAGGAGAAGTACATGTATGGGGTTTAAATGTATTGGAGCAAAAGGAATCCTAGCAATAATACAGACCTGTCACTAGGTGGAGATAGTGAAGCTGTTAATAATGATGCACAGGAGGCAAATGTATTCAATAAATGTTTCTGTTCTCATTTTGGAAAGAAGCATGATGATCTATCACATGAGGCTGACAGAATACTTTCCAATCCATTAGTAATTAAAGAGGATATTAGACAACATGTACACAGGCATACATGTTTTTAAACATCAGCCTAGATGGCTTGCATACAAAAAATGTGAGAGTTGGCTGACGAGATCTCTGCCCTGCAATGTACTTTTGAAACAAATTTTGGGGCTTCAGACAAATTCCAAAAATCTAAAGGAATACTACAAAGTAGTCAAAAGTCTCATGCCAGATTCAGCTAAAGAATTAAACAATTGAACAGAATTATTGCCAGTTGGCATGGTCTTATGGTCTAGTCTGACCACCACAGGTTTGACTTGTTGTATATTCCTGATGATTCTTTGCAATTATAAGTTTGGTACATGCAGAAAACTACGTCAAATACACTTAATCTTTATAAAACATTTTGATTTGTATACTGCACAGCATTCTTTAAAACGAGCACTATGTAGTATTAATTAAATGCTTTAAATGGATTAAGTATTGGCTAACTGACAGTTATCAGCTGGTATCTGACAGTGATTCTTCCTTGACAAATTGTGAAGGGATTTCTTCTCAGGTCCTGCAGGGCCAGGAAGTAGGCCTCACTTTAAAGAGTTGCATTGGAGATCAGAATTAAATATAACGTCACTCTGATAATATTTGAAGATTATATAGCATTTGGTAAAATCATAAATAAATACAGGGAATAGTACAGAGCAGTCTGGATCACTTAAAGCAGGTTGTTAAGGAACCATGCCTGTTCAAACAGTATGTTTTTGATGTAGACAAATCTGAAATTGGCTGTCTAGAAACAATGGATGCTGGCCAGGCCAACAAAATTATGTTCTGTGCCTTGGAAAGCAAGTTCTCTGAAAAAGTTCTAGCGTTTCTGTTAGCAAGCAGATGAACCTGAGTTCAGTGCCATACTGTAGAAAAAGGGCTACTGTGAGGCTTGAATGTGTAAACAGGAGAGTAGCGAGTAGGAATTAGTGAGATGGGGCTCTTGTACATGTAACAGGGGTTTAGTCCCCAGAATTGAAATGGTGAGTTTTTAATTGTGATGATCTACAATTTGCTGCTTCCTCCACTCCCCTGCCCCCCAGCAGAGCCTGCCTGAGCGGCCCCTGAGCTGTGGGGTTCGGGGGTTGGTCCTTCCCTCCATGGCAGCAGCACCCCCCAGGGCCACCCATATGTGTACAGTGACATGCAATTAAACCACAAAAATGGGCAATTTTCATCACTTATACAGGCACCTATGATTTTTGTCTCCCAATCCTGCAGAGATTAATGCTGGAATTCTTCATACACCTAGTAAAAATGTTTAAAGAATTGGAGATGGGGATAAGAAATCACAAAGATGATTCAGGGGCTGGAGCAAACACCTTGAAGTGAGAAAATTAAGGAGCCTGATTTGTATAGCTTGTCAGAAAATTTGAAAGGAGAATAGACTCTTCAGGAGGAAAAAATGATCGTAGACCACAGCAGTGGGGAAGAGCAAGCACTTAGCTCCTCACATAGTGCAGCACACCATTTGGGAATTACTAGTCTAAATCTGAGATCCAAAACTGAAGACATCTGTGGAAAAAAGACTTTAAAATCTACAGTTTCCAAATACCTTTTGGCTGAATATCTGTGATGTAATGGTATCAGATGAAGATTTACCTGCTTTTCCCCTTTCTCCAGAGCAGTTCATAGTTTCATAGTTTCTAGGG